AGAGAGAGAGAGACTGATTCATTTTCTTCCAGAAAGGGTGTGGCTGGGGTGTGGGGTGGGTGTGGGTCAAGCGGAAAAAAGCAGATTTTAGCATGTAAAATCTTTAAAATTTCTCAACATCTTTAAAAATCTTTAAAAATCATATATTAGAGCGGGTAGGAGTAGGAAGTTACCTTTACCGGTAACTGGTACTGGTATCCTTGAGGCCACAAGTCCTACTATAGAGGATATCCTTGGGTTCTCACGTTCTATACTAAGGGAGTGACTTTGGCTCCTCAAGTCCTATACTGGGGGAGGGGATATCCTTGAGTCCTCAAGTCCTACTATAGAGGGTACCATTGGGGCCACAAATCCTATCATACTGGGGTATCATTGGGTCCTCATCTCCTATTATAGAGGAGAACGCTTGGGTTCTCAAGTCCTACACTAAGGAAGTACCCGTGGGTCCTAAAGTTCTTCTATAGGGAGGCACTCTTCGGTCCTCAAGTCCTATACTAAGGGGTTACCCTTCAGTCCTCAAGCACTACTAACGGGCGGTACCCTTAGGTCCGCAAGTCTTACTATAGAGAGGTACCCTTGGATGCTAAAGTTCTGCTATAGGAGGTACCGTTGGGTCCCAAATCCTACTATAGCGGGCTACCCTTTGGTCCTCAAGTTGTATACTAGCGGAAACTCTTGGGCCTTCAGGTACTATACTAGGAGGTACCCTTGGGTCCTCAAGTACTACATTGAAAAAAAATAAGATACCACACGATACCAAAGATAGTTTCGTAATCTCTACAAAACTTTAAAAGGGTTTCCTGCGAAGTGTGAAACTTAAAAAGGTGTCGAATTTTGTAACGAATTCGATACCTTTTAGAGATTTCGTATGAGACATTTGAGATCTTCCAAAAATATTCCTGAAGCTTCGACAATGATTTTGAGCCTATCTTGGGTTTTTACCAAGCCTTAAAAAATGTTTCGATTTCGTTACAAAAAAATTTTCGTACGGTACCATAGTTTTTTTCAGAGTACTATTGGAATTACCTTTGGATCCTTAAATTCTACTCCCCGTAAACTTCATCCCCTTCATAAATGTCATTATTCAATCATTCTGTAGACACAAATACAAGAACAGCTGAATTATTCGTCCACAGCCGCAGCTGAAAAATATCAACGAACAAAGGAGAAAAGAAAAGTCCATGCAAGCTAACTTGACTTCACCACTATCGCTCCTCTGGTACATACATGAGCCGAATCTATTTGCCCATTAGCCAACCAGTTGTTTGACCACAACTGATCAAGCAATATATAGCTTTCCATAATAACAGAACAGTATCGCATTACAACTTCAGAGTACGTAAGTATCGTTCTCCTATTCAACACTAAAACCTCATTTTCAACAAAACAGCGAAAACGACGACATGTGAAATCCTTCGCTTCTGAGTAATAAATGAAATCAGGTTCCACTTACCAGTCATACTTTCAAATTGACGATACAAAAGTTTCTGACCGATCTCCACTTCTTCGGAATGCCGTCTCTTCGATCGACAAAATTGACTGCAGAATTCTGAGAGACTAACCCCAGGCTCCGGTTTTCCGACGCCGATATAGACTCTCCAGCCTTTATAAAAGTTCGTTATTTTCTCAAAAAACCATCCTTACGATGAATAATGCAGATGTCGAATTTTTCTTTATCCCACCCTCAGTTATTTCCCAAGCTAATAATAACTTTTCTCGGACACTTACTAGTTGAAAAAGGTTAGGTTACACCACTATTCTCTATCCGATAGCGCTTCAGAAACTATCAGCACCCAATCCGATAGCATCTCGCCAAATCCACTTCTTCTATCGAGTGGCACTTCAAAACTATTGGGCAATCGCTCATAAATAGTTTTAAAGACTTCAGAAACCTGTATACATGAGTCCATAAGGCCATAGACGTACCTCCTCAGACTGTCGGTCATGACTCATCACCTCCTCCAGATTATAGATCATGTGGAATTGAAGGTACATCGATAGTTGGGAAGTTTGAGGGACCTAATCGTTACAATCATCAGATAACAGACAAGTTAGTGTCCTCATCATAGCCCTAGAACGAGGAAACTGCCCCGCTACCAGCCACCCGGTAACTGTAAGGTCGGATACCTAGTACCCCCTAGTGCACGACTAGAGGATCCAAGGATACCGTCTAGTTTGCGACATGAGAATCCAAGACTAACCCCCTATAGAAGGCCTTGAGGATCCAAGCGCACCCCCTATAGTAGTACCTGAGAACCCAAGGATACCTTCCTATAGTAGAACTTGAGAATCCAAGCGTACCCCGCTATAATAGTACTTGAGGACCTAAGGATACTCCCCATAGTAGGACTTATGGTCCCAAGGGTACCTCCCTATAGCAGTACTTGAGGAGTCAAGGATACACTGAAAAAGAAATTCGTAGAATAATGAACCGTTGCACTAAAAATAATTTTCTATAAACCCTTGAACGGTGTATGCAGTTGTCAAAAACCTTCAAAAGGTTTATCAACTGGAGCGTTTATGACAGTGAGAGAATATACAAATGGAAAGGGTATATGGCACACATTTAAGGGTTTATTATTCGGCGTTTTTGTGAGAAAGGTTTAATATTCTACGATTTAGAGCACTTTAATCTGTGTTTTTGTCGGAAACATTTATTATTTTAGAGATGAGGGTATATTACTCTACGCTATTAACAAAAAGGTTTTCTATTCTGCGCATCAAGATAGGTTATTCTACGATCGTACAAAAGGGGTTATTATTATATGCTCACGGGTATATCACTCTACGCTATCAACCAGGGAATATAGCATTCTGCCCATCAGGATAGATTATTCTACACATAACGGTGTGTTACTCTACGATTTTAGAAAAAAGAGTTCCTTATCATACACTCAGGAGTAGATTATTCTCCGCTATAAACAAGGCGATTTTTTATTCTAAGGACAAGGGTGTATTATTCTGCGATTTTATGAAAACGGTTTATTATTATACTCTCAGAGACATATTAATCTATGTTTTTATCAGAAGGGCTTATTGTTCTACGGATAAGGATATATTATTCGATGATCGCAAAAAAAAGGTTTTATTATTATACACTTATGGGTTGATTATTCTACGACTGAAAAAAAGAAGGGTTTTCTATTCTATACTCGAGGTAGATGATTCTGTTTTTATGAAAATGATTTATTATTTCACGCTCAAGAATTCAATTATTCTACGTTATTGTCAGAAGTGTTTATTATGATTCTACGCATTATGGTTGGTTAATCGACGATGTCAACAAGAGTTTTATTGTTTCACGAACAAGAGTAGTTTATTGTGCAAATTCTTTTGCAGTGTAGTTATTCGGATCGATGTCCACTATTGAATGAAGGAAATAGAATAAAACAATTTAGTTTTCTATTATTTTCTTATCTTTATTTAGATACTTTCTAAAAAAATGATGTCATAAGGCATCTTCTTTTGGGTACCATTTTAAGAACCTTAGTTTAGTTCTAGCCAAAAAGTCTAAACTCTTTACAGTTGCATACTTTCTCGGTAAACCCGTTTTAATCTCTACACTTCTTGGTTGGAACTCAAAAGAGATTCTAAAAATATTATCCAAATCTAGAACACTAAAAAAGTTCAGAATCTTTGGTAAAATCTTGAATGATTCCTTCTAATACATTTTTTTACCGAGTGCGGGGTGTGGGTGTGGGGTGTAGTGTGTGTGTGATTAAATGAACCCACACACACCCACCGACCCACACCCCACATCCACACACACCCACACCCTCAAGGAGACTAAAATATCACTTTTAAATCCATCATTGAGATCAATCTTATACTTCTCTAAATCGGGTCTTATTGTCCAAATTAAATTGGCACTATGTGTGTATTATTTAATAAGCTTACTTCTACTTTTAGCATTATTCAGATACGTTACTCACCCTAATGAAATCAATAAGATCCAATATATTGGAAAAATTTGATATTGACTTGTTGTTAATTTGGCTTGGTTATAGGCATGTAACACTGTTTGCTTGTTTTTGCAAATGATTCTTTTTTATCTTTGCAGTAAGGTGCCTTTATATGTTTCTTGCTCTTCCTTAATGTGTTTAGTTTTTTTTCCTTCTTTTTTTTAAATTTTTTGTTACACGCTCTATCACGAACATAGTTACACAAGATGCACATGTTCTGCATGAAACGATTTGCTTCAGTGAATACTGCATGTGAAATAATATCGAAACATATACTTGAAAAAATATTGAGAAGCAAAATGTAATAGATAAACATCAAATTACTTCTTTACCTTGACGAAAGTAATATATAATATTCATGTATATACAAATAAAAAGTCTCAAACCAAAAAATTTCAATATATATATATTTCGCGCATTTTTTTTGAAAAATAATAGTTTAATAAGGGTGTGGATGAAGAGAAGAATTAAATCTACACCCACACCTACATCCACATAAAACTTCACATCTGTCAACTGTCGCAATAGTCGAGAGAAGCTATTATATAAAAGCTGTATGATGTTGTCAATATACGGTATTTATCTCTTGCTTACTTCTCTACTCTGTTACTCTATTGAAATTAGAGTATTGTAAAGTTGATGATCTATCATTTGAGTAACGAAATCAAAAGTCAAAATTTTATCGGTGACTAGCTTGATTAGTGGTCTGACAGATTCTCTCTTAACAGTATGCATATAACCTTGTTCTCCTTTATAGTCGCGTTCATTGAATGCAATCAGTATTCCAGAATTTGGCAAGCTTATATCAGAAACACGTTTGTTAATACTAACGCATTTCGATATTACATGAGTAGAGAGTTTTCATCGAGCAAGTCGTGTCTTTTTCATTTATGCAATATATGAGTCAGTGGGAAGAAAGAAAAATATTGCATCACCACGAATAAAAAAGAACAGAATAAGTAACTTATAAAAGGTAGTAACTCGTCGTACCATGTATTTTTTTCATTAATAGACACAAACAATACGTATTGCACAATCATGACATCTCTTCAAATCCACAAACCACATCAACCAGAATTAGTTCAACATGATTCATCTATTCTCGGTAAGTTTTTCTTAAAAGTTTATTCAATTAGTGATAAATATGTTTTCAGATCTTGCATTTGCAATTGACTGTACGGGTTCAATGGGACCTTACATAGTTAGTGCAAAGAATAATATTCGCTCAATTGTTGAAAAAATCACCGCAAGCGAAAAGAGTGATATTCGCTTGGCACTTGTCGAATACAGAGATCATCCACCACAACTAAGTGACAAGCAATAATAGAAAAACTATCATAGATAAACTGTTATTCAATTAGGATCAGACTTTTGTTACACGTGTACATGATTTTACTAGCAAAGTAGATGAAATGAAAGATTGGCTGAAAAATTGTGAAGCTGATGGCGGTGGTGATATACCAGAGGCAGTTGCTGATGCCCTTGATGCAGTGCTCAAACTATCATGGCGTATTAAATAAACTCGAATTTGCGTACTTATTTCTGATGCACCACCACATGGACTCGATCCAAACGGTGATACTTTTCCAGATGGATGTTCAGCTGGTCATGATCCAGCTAGACTTGTTCGAGATATGGGTGAAGAAAATATCACACTCTATACAATTGGCGTCGAACCGCCGATTGGTACGGTGATAATATTTTATATGAATTTTAAAATCAAACAACTATTTTCATTTCTTTTTTGTTCGTTATCGAGATTTTTTTATGGCTTTGGCTTATATTACTGGTGGACAATATGTTCCAATGGTCGATGCTCAACTATTAGCAAAGATTATTATTGGTGGAGTTCGTGAAGAAATGTCATTAGATCGTCTAATGCAAAATGCGTTGCCTGACATTGATTGCGAAATGAACAAAGCCGAATCTGAAGGAATAGATGAAAAAGCTCAAGCAAAACGAGTTCGTGATATTTTTTCTTCGAAAAATATATGTTTAAAACGAATGAGAAATTCTCATGGTGCATTTTCATCTGCCGCTACAGATGGATATGCAAAATGTCCTGATATGGCAGAAATGAGAATTCAATTTCGGTTACAATCAGAAGCTACTCCAACTGTTTCGACTACTAGCAGACATACTGGATCAGCATCTGAAACGGATTATGATCTATTGGACGATGAAGTCGTGAGTGAAGATCAGGCTGCCCGGATCAGAGTTGGAACCGGTCCGGCAATCCGGTTGAGGTCCGGCCGGACCGGACAAGACCGGACCGGACCGGACGAGAAATCAAATCCGGCCGGACAAAATCGGATTTTTGCCAGCTCATCATTACAAAATTGTTGCTCGTATTTGATAATTTTTCACCAAAGAATGAGTTTTTTCTACATTTTCAACTGAAAAGATGAATAGAATGGTATTCTAAATGAGAAATAGACAGAAAGAAGCAAGAGAGCTGCTTCTCTCTTATGGAACAATTGCAGTTGCTAGAGCAATAGCTAATCTGTGCAATGATTGTAGTAATTAGGAAAAGCCGAAAAGTTTAAGATATGAAAGCGAGAAATCCTACGTCAACTATTTCGACTACCAGACCTATAAGAAGGTGGTCGATAACCATCAGAATCGACAGGTTTCATTATGTTCCGATGTATTTTGCAATTTGATTGCTAGCTGAAGTCGTTAGAGTTCTTCGACAACAACTGCCAGTTGTGCTCGAAACATAAAGAGACCGACTCAAAAACTCCAGTCAGATTTCATTGGCAAAAACACCAGATCATGACAAAAACTTCACACGGGCAACTATAATCTAGAGGTATAGGCTCTATTCCATTTGCTAATTCTCTTTCACGACCATCATATCTACCACAAAATCAAGCAGTTCTCCTGTCTTGATCTTTTTGAACGGTTCTTAGTAGAAAAAGAGAAAAATACGTGTCATTCACGATAGTTATTACTGAGCTTGATTTTTTGTTTTTAAATAACGATGAGTAGTCGATATTCGATATAATCGGCTCATCTCTATTTATCTTCAGCTTGAAAAGTCGGTATCTTGGAATCGAATATAAGGAAGCTGTTTTTTTACATATATTCAGGCGGTCCACTTCAAATATCCGCATGTAAATATCGAAAATTTTACTTCATTTACTATCTTTCGTAAACAAGCTTCTTTTGACTTCCAATTTTTTGCCGGATTTTTGCCAGTTTGGCTTCGAAAATGAACTGGTCGGATTCAGGCCGGACCGGACCGGACAGATTTTTCTACTGGCCGGACCGGACCGGATACAAAAAATCTGTCCGGTTCCAACTCTGGCCCGGATGGTTCAAAAATGGCAGAGACGTAAAAATAAATGCTACAAGGACCGCTACAGAAGTTTTTTCGTCAACTCTTAGAATAAATATTCAAAGATTGATTGTAGTGTGTTTTTTTTCGAAGTTTTGTTTTGTGACATTGTCGAAAGTTTCCGTTAAAGCAATTAACACCGAACCCATAATCATGCTCATGAATAATTCATATATATCAAGGTGCTTATTTGTTGAATTTAAAGTGCTGTTTTTATTACAGTGAATCGTCTAGTCAACAAACGAAATAAAAAATCTAGAGAATAAAAGTTGGAAATATTTAATAATAATAGTTTTATTTTCCGATACTTAACAATCACTTTTAGTTCATGTGTCTTTGCACATACTCAGATCATCACAAGAAAAATTTTGAACTTTCAGATATTTCAAAGAAAAACAATTATCAACGATTTAGTCAATTTGAAAAAAATCGATCATCTGCCAAAAATACTCTTCATCTAATACAACATATTTAGGTACAAACATTTAAATCATATATTCGAATAGGGTGTGGGTGTTTGTTTTCGGTTCTATAACATCAACATTCACAACTCACAACCACAGCCAGAACAAGATATCCAATACTGATTCAATTTATCGATTGAGTGATCAAATCATAGTATAATATAAATGACAAATTCATCCAGTTCTGTATCTATCTATATTTTTGTTTCGATGGAATTCAATGATCAATAGAAAATTTTGCAACGAACATTTCGAAAAAAGAAGATCAAATACGTGACATTAGTGCTACTAAGCTAAAAGCATGCGTTTTTATGTTTTCGTTGATGCATGAAACTCTGAAAAGCTATCTTGAGGGTGAGAGTGTAAGAAGTGCATTCTAAAACATACGTTTGTTGCTGAACTTCAAAAGTTTCGCACTTTTATTTCGGACGATTTGAGATTGGATGAAATGAAAATCGTTGTGGGTTTTGTTCAGAACTTTTTTAAGTTCCACAGATTTCACAGAGTTTCGCAAGTCTTCGACGAAACTTTATGTAAGTTTCGTAAACCTAATACGAAACGATTGATAATTTTATGGGTCATCTAAAGGTTCAGTATATTGTATACAGAACGGTCAATCATTTCGAAGAACATCAGTAGGTTCCGTATATAATGAGTGATGAAGTTATATAGCAAGAAAATAGAACTTCCCTCCTCTTCCCCACAGGTCGTAACAGACAGACAAACAGAATTGATATCTCAGTGGTGTCAGAAAACTCTTGTTCAACAAGGCACACTAAGCTTGTGACTCATTTGTATTCTTCCAGATTTTTAACTATCGACCAACTATTATCACCAACTATGTGATTCTGTGGACCAATCAAGAGTATCTTCATCCACATCCGTATCGTTCTTTCAGTGATACATCTCGAATTACGAACGTGCTAAATCATCAAGAAGAGTGTGACATCTTGTGACTGTTACGGAGAGTCTTTACTGATCAATACATGTTCACATATGGCAGATCAGTGATAACTAAAAATTACAATGTCATGACGTAGAACGACATTAATGAATTAGCTCATTTGTGCGACATCATGTTTTGCTATCAGAATCGCTTACAACAAGAAAATCCAAATAGTTGCGGTCTATATTCATAGCTGCTATCCTGATATTAAGCATGTCACTACCACATAATTCCACGAAACTTATGTATTCATCATCGCAGACTCTCGAGACTTTTGAAGAAATTATGAGATGAATAGTAAAAGTCAATATTGAGTCTTCGATAAACGAATGTGTGTTTGTCACCATTTCTAACATATGCTGCTGGCTGAATACTTCCGAAATTCTTTTCTTTTTATGATGAATAAAAACATTTCTGTTTGGTTATTTTATGTTTCGATAAGGAACGACAAATTCTTTCTGATATAAAACAGTCAACATATTATCGGCATCTAATAAAGAGAAAGGCAACTTTTTATTGCAATAAACACGAATGTAAGAACGAAGTTTCGACGATGTTTTTCTCTTTGTTTGAATGCATTTTTACTCGAATTTCTTATCGATCGTGTGCGCGTCTATTTTGTTTGCCATTTTCGTTTTCAGTGTTCGTTTTTGCATAGATCGATTTACTACCCACGATGGGAGGCCGTGAGTCAAGAGCTAAGATTGATGCCATAGAACGGCAACAACAAGCGCTCATGGAACAGAATACCAATATTGCAAAACGTCTTGCTGAACAAGAAGAAGCAAATAAACGACAACATGAAGCTGCGATTGAACAAATAGCTAGAATGTTCTTAGCATTGATACAATCAAAAAATAATGAAACAGTTATAAATAATGAAAAACGAGAAATAGAAATTGAAGGTACTACATATGAAATTATTCAATTTGTTGATCGAGGTGGTTTTGGTGAAATTTATAAAGCAAAAGTTAGAAATAAGAATATGCTAGTCGCTATCAAAGCTATGTCAAATAGACCGGGTCTACAAGAAGAAATTAAAAATGAAATCAATTTTTTACGTTTAACAAAACGAATTCCAATTGATAATCATCCAGTTATCGAATATTATGGTAGTAAGGTAACGAAAGAAGCTATTTTTATAGCAATGGAATTAGCTGCTTGTGATCTTCTAACATTTTGGGTGAACCAAGTAAATGAGGGAAAACGTGAAGAAATAGCTGCTATTGGTATCATTATTATTGTTTATGTGCTACGCGCATTAGCATTTCTCGAAAAACTAAACATTGTTCATGGTGATATAAAACCGCAAAATCTTGTTATTGTTCCAAATGAACAATCTTTCTGTATTAAATTGATTGATTTTGGTACCGTAGAAAAAATGAATACTCAATGTGCTCAACTTACAGTCGATGCTAGCAAATCGTTCACTCTATATTTTGTTTCACCAGAATTTTTACGACGTAATGCAAAAAATTTGGTGTCAAGACATCTACATAAAAAATCTGATGTATGGGCGGCAGGTGTCATGTTTTATCTTCTTTTTTGTGGTGAATTACCATGGAAAGATCAAGCTGATTACGAAAATTTTTGTAATGATCAACGTGCTAAAGATGTTGTTGTACCGGATATTGGTGGTTATAAAATGATTATTGAACTTTTACTAAAGAAAAATCCTGATGATCGTTCAAGTGCTACAGCAACACTTATGCAATTAAAAGCACATCCAGTATTCGGAAAGATTATCGAATCACTGCATACGAATTTTTGTCCTGTTGATGATGTATGTTATATGAGAGTACCTGATGATGTTCGACAAGGATTAGGTAAGTTAATTACTAAATTTGAGAAACAAATACGACGTTAGAAAATATTTTTGGTTTCTACACGTATTTTGCTTTTTATCAGATAGTCGTGGCAGATATATAGTTGATGAGGAAGGATAGACGAAGAAAAATATGGGAAGAGAAGGATTCAGCTTCTCTCTAGACAGTTTGGTCTCTTCTAGAAAAACCTAAGTCCCCAAACGACAGAACCAGAGAGCGCTCCACCTCCGCCCAAAAAATTTTTATACTGTTGTACTCCAAGAAATTCATATTAATAGATTCTATTTTTAGCTAAACTTGCACGGCCTGGTCATTATGTCGATGGATCAAGTTCATCGTCAAGCAAAGCATCGTGTAAGTGTTGATAAAGATCTCTACCTAAAATAACATGTCGAAAACAAGATTTCATTTTACTTTCTATTATCAGCTGGTCCTCGTCGCCCATGTCGATACAGCTCAGAGTGCTATAGGTTGTGTACACAAGTCTTTTCATAAAATACTGATCATTCCTTATTTTATCTGATTACAGAAAAGATCCTGATCATCGTGCAGAATTTGCACATCCAGGTGACTCTGATTATGGCCATTCGGACAAGAGACACTGCCGTTACGGAGCAGACTGCTATAAGTATGTTTGTTTACCAATATTTCAGTTCAAAAAATCATGGAAGAGGAGACGATCTGAAAAAAACTGAAGAACTTATCAAGCAGACTTGAGCAGTTCCGACTCCGATGCTCGAATCAGATTGGAAATGCTGTATTCCACATCCCACACACATCCTAGGTTCAAATATAGATTGGTATAGTTTTTCAAGAAAGTTCGATCGAATCAAAAAAAGAAATGAAAAGCTATTTTAAAAGTCGCAAATCCATAGAATTTTTCAGAAAAATCAATCAATGAGTTTCAATGTAGTCAACGATACTTTGATCCAGTTAAATCTACAATAGCTAAGATGTTTTTTTTTCGTGTTTAAGTGATGATCCTGATCATCGAAAACAATTTGCACATCCGAATAATACAAAACGTGATGATGCTGGCAAATGCCGCTTTGGAAAGGCTTGTACAAAGTATGTTCAATTTCTTTTGAAATATCTTCAATTTTCTTCATAATAATGTTTATCTAGGAGAAACGATCGAGATCATATGAAGAAATATTTACATGATTGATTCTATTGAACAAATCATATCAAATTCTTTCATTTTTTTTGACATAGTATCAATATTTTCATGCTTTCTTGCAATTTATTCAATAAAATTTAAATAATTAAAATGGCATATTTCAGTGTTGAAAACAACTTCTTCAGATAGATTGCAAACCAGTTGTTGGAAAGATATGTACAGTTAAATATGAACAGAGTAAATCAGAAAGAATGACATATATAAACCAAATTGACTAACTTTTCTTTGACTTTTAGTGTCTTGTTTTTCTGTATCACTATTATAAATATGATTGTACACGCAAAAGAAAAATGTGTAGTAAATTTTGTCTATGTCTCACTCTTTCGGGTCTACTTTGTCTTAGATTTAGGTTGGCATGTCTTTTCAACAACTACTGTAGTTATAATCACATATTTATTCACAAAACTTCTCTTATCAATTGGGAATTCCTTTCTCAACGATCAGACTTCGTTTTCTAAAGAATGGCATAAATGAGCAGATGCAGTTATCTTCCTATGACAGAAATGACGCGCCAAACCCAAGGTTAGACAGTTGCAAAAACAGTGATTAATTGATCAATGTCACCGTTTATCACACAAGCTGTTTCAAGCGTTTACAAAACAAAAAAACCTTTTATCGTTTAAACACTAAATTATAATTGCACTAAATATAAATTCAATGACGGTTAAACATTTGATTTTTCATGATTTCATATATAGTAAACGAGTGTTTGTTTATTTAACCAATATTTAATCAAATTAATGAGTAACGTTTATTCTTTCACGAAAGAGAAATACTTAGTTTTGAATAAGTAATTAATACTTATCTAAATAATCAAAAACCCCTGAACTCCAGGGGTGTGAGTGGCCTGGCGTGCATGTGGCCCATTTCTCAATCACACTCACACCCAACTTCTACGTATACTAATATTCATTTAAAATGGTATACTTATTTGTCATTTTTTTTGTACTTTTCGCATTGAACCAAATAGTTCTTCTTAATAGTCACTTTTTTATATTCCAAATTTTGTCTAACTTATGGTTGTGAATGAAGCATAGGAAAAAGCGCATACACTTCACATCAAAGCATATAATATTGTTCACGTGTTTTATTGTATGCAAGTGTCTGTACTAATCTTTTTTATAGTCATTCGTGATAAAGCATGCAAATAAAGAATGAAAAAAGGTAATAAAGGAAAAAGCCAAGCAAAATAATAAATAATATAAAACGATAAAGATGCTTTGCTAAAAAGGTGAAAACAAAAATAATTCAAGAAAACAAACATATAGTGTTATATACACAGCAAGTTTTATTAATAGACCGTCTATATACTTTAATTCCTACATTGTTGTGAGTGGTTTATTAAAATAATATCAGTATCAGAAATATGTTTGTGACATAGTCCATACATAGCACCGATTGGATGTAAACATTAGAGAGTGTGGATGTAGAGCGGTGCCTGATTATGCATGTGAAGAAGACAAATACTCACATCCTTGTCAAATGAAAGATAGGCAATGGTGGTTTTATTTAAATAAGAATGAACATTATACACTTTTTAAATTTGTTTCCCTTACTTTGATTGCAAGCATACTAGAACCAAGGGATGTTAAAGAATATCATTTTTTAAAAGTGTATTTACAATGCGTTAAAGTGTCGGAGTTATTTTTGTTTTTACATAAAAATCTTTAACAAGATTATCAGTGGGGAAAGAAACACATATTGAAAGTAAGAAGAAAGCAACAATAAAACTTAATCATGATATCAATCGAAGAATCGTACGTTGCATAGAATGAGGAAAAAAAATGATTTTATTGTTTTTCTTATCTACAAAGTTTTATGTACGAACTTAAAAAGATTACTGAACTATATTGGATGTAAATTAGCAATAGTTATTCTTTCTTTTCTAATAATATCTGAAAATTTTCATTTAACGAATCATAATTTCAATAATAAACGCAATGAACTATTGTATGACGACCCGATAAACGAACCAATAATTAATTATTATCAACAATATTTTGAAATTGAATTTCTTCAAGATGTCGAAGATTTTTTTCGTCAAAAAACCAGTTCGCGCTATCGACTTAAATTCAATTATCGAATATCTTTCTCAACTGAATTTCTTTATTTCATCGAAAAAATTTGACAGCAGAATTTGATTTTTTCATAATAAGTATCAGAATATTTTGATCTTGAAGTAAATTTTACCAAATCTTTCTTACGGGAATCAAAATCTACATTTCAAATGTTAATCAATAAATTAGAAGAAATGTTTCTTTCTCGACACAGTCTAAATATCATTATGAACAAAGTGAAAACAATCATATTAACTGAGAACAATCAAGGTGATGATTGTCTTTTGTGCTAATGAATTAAATTAGTGCCCTTCTTTTATTAAATGAAGATTTAAAACGTATATATGAACTAGTTAGTCGAATTTCGAACATTAAAAATGAAGTAGTATAGTTAATCGAAAATCATATTTATGAAGAAGGTATTGTTACTGTTACACGAATCAGTAACACTGCAATTAACGCAGATTTAAGTATCTTTTTTTCCTAATTTATATTCTCTTCTTTTCTTTAATAGGATCCCAAAACGTATGTCGAGACAATAGTTAATATTCATATAAAACATTTAGAAAATTTTCATCATGGACCAAATTTTAAAACAGCTTTAGATAAAGAAAATATTTATATCGGAAATCATATTTATTATTGAAATAGAATAGGCTTGTTGTAAATTTATCAATAATAATGCAGTAACATAAAAAGGTGGTACAACAAGAACATCAACTGAATTATTAGTTCGATATTGTGATAGACTTTTGAAAAAAAGGGTTTGTATCATTTTATTTGAATATATAAAATATTAATGAATTCATTTTTCTAGAAATAAAATAAATGAAAATACAGATTCTGAAGAAAATCTCAATCAAATATCAGTACTATTTAAACGGTTTTTTTTTGAGTAATGTGATTATTTTCTTTGTAGATTGTGCTTGTTTGTCTTGAAGATAATATTGCCATTAACAATAATCAGTCTATCTATATCAATTGTTAATCTTTAGTCTAGTTTTACAGGAGATATGCGGTTTTGAATATACATCGAAATTGCAACGAATGATTCAAGATATTAAAGCTAGCAGAAATTTAATCACTGCCTACCGAGAATATTGTGAAAATAATTACGGCAAAGGCATTGGTGAAAAATATTTTTTTTAAGTACGTTGAAGGAATTTCTCAAGGTTTTTTTAGTCGAATTCTCTGTAATGGTGTTAAATTTGAGTTCATGGACATTTTCATCTTTATCAAATGTTATTTTACCAATTGAAGTAGATAATCATTGACTACTTGTTCATACATAAAAATTTTCTTTTAGTTACAAACGACATTCAATAGTTTCGACGATTTTTATTCTCATCGTCATAGTGATAGAAAACTAACTTGGCTCCATCAATATTCAATAGGTGAATTACAAACAAATTTTACTAATAAAAAATATATATTACACGTAAGACTTGATTTTTTAGTCAAATTGCATCATAGAATTTTTCTAATGTCAAAGGTAACAACATATAAAATGATTGTCTTATTATTATGTAGGGAAGAATTAAATTGGACTGTTGAAGAAATACACGATAAAACACAAATTCCATCTAAATTATTACTTCAAATTTTTTCTAGTTTATTAATTAGTAAAATAGTATTTACGAACGAAATCAATGAAGATTTTCAAGATAGTGATATAAAACTAAATCATAGAGTTCGATTCACACAATATTTCACAAGGCAAAGGCATTTAATTTTAAAAATCATATTGAAAAGTCATTTTTGATTTGTTTTAGAGAAAAAATTCTGGTGAATTTGACTGAATGTATTATTAAAATCAAGTAAAGAGCAAAATTGGCAATCTTTAAATGAATCCATTGATGGAGATCGGAAATTAGTGATTCAAGTAAATAAGAAAGTGTTTTTGTACGATTGACAAAGTTTGATTTTTTTTTCAGGCGGCGATTGTTCGAATAATGAAACAGAAAAAAAGTCAGAAATATTCATTATTAATGCAAGCGACTATTGAAAAATTGAGCTCACTTTTCAAACCTGAAGTTTCTTTAATTTAGGTAAAACTATTTTATTAAATTTGACAATAATAAATAATTAAGTGATATGAATTTATCTTGTAGAAATGTATTGAGTTTTTAATTGGTAAAGAATATCTTGAACGAGATTCTAATGACAGAGATGTTTTACATTATTTAACTTAAGATATATCAATATTAATCAATAAATTTATCTTCATCGTTGTATATGACAGGTACTTAGTTTGCATTGATTTTATTTTTTCGTTTTTATGAACCATATTTGTTTTTAAAAAAGACTTGAAATTAAAAGATGTCTTAAGAATCTTTTTCAAATAATGTAGAAGATATCTAAGTCTAGAATATAATTCATTCGGTTTTTAAACATTTTTGATTGAAGCAGTCCTAAATGGAGGATGCATCCGATATATAAAATATTAGCACCAGGAGTTCTTGTCATCTCTTACATAATGAAAGAAAAATTTTTTCAATCGAAATAACTTCACAATATTCAGATAAATTCATTTTAGATAGACTTAGTCACATAATAAATTACATAGTTCGAATGATTTTATTAGAATATAAATGGCAATATTAAATGAATCAAATTTATGTTCAATTTGTAGTAAATCTTTAGTTAAATATTTTTGTATCGGATGTGGAAAATACTTTTGTTCGATGGATTTTCAAGAACATGAAGAAATTCTTGATTAAATTCAAAATTTAGGAAAATCAAATCATTTGTTAGTAGATCTTTTTGACTCTCTCTGCCACCAATACATTTTTGTTCAGGTAAGTGAAAACCTATTCCCATTGAACGTATAATACAGAAAATTTCTTTGAAAAAGCCTTCTTTGTTTAGTATATCTCCTGAGCTAATTTAAGGCTCAAATCAGTCGTACAATAACTGCATTAGTCGTTAGTCCGAGAGGAAGCTATTCGAGTACTAGATTAATGATACAATGTAATGCATGACCCAAATTGGTCTTCTCATGAATATTAGTCTTGTATATACCGTCTCCTCCGTTAAATATATCAAATACAGAACTGAATAAAACGAAATTTTGTAATTCGATCTCTCCGTTCATCGCATTGTAGAGAGTGGAGAATGGTAAAAAGCTTATTTCGGGTGGCTCTCCAAAACCTGATGAACTCCATGCATAACTAATCGCAAATGCTACTTAATCTTAAGTTGTTTCAAACCTAGATTGTAATTTAATTAGATAGTGTTTAAAAATGATCTTTAAATCAAGCGAGGCATCAAAATATCGTTAAAATTTATTTAGAATATGGAAATATTCAAAATATTCATGGTGAGTTCATGTAGGTTCACATGTACCTGAACTCTATTCTTCTGTTTTACGTCCTTAATGGATGGTCCTTCATATTGTTTTCAATTTTCAACTCACAAATTAACTAGAACAATGCAGATTGAGAGAAATTGAACAATAAGACTAATCTATCTAATTGTAAAAATAGTGAAATATAATGTTGTTTTCTTCAAAAGAAGTTATATTTCATTGGTTCTCTCGATTAAATACTTCTTTTCATAAGGAAAATTACGTATCCCACTGATTTACCCCATCCGAACTTTTAAAAACTCCATTCCAAAAATGAAAAATGGCAGTCCTACTCACCAACCACACTCACACTCGATGCACCAGTATGAAATAACTAAGTAGGCAACAAGAGTTTGCGTGTGGAGGAAGAAAAGACACTTGTAAGCAAACTAACACAACTCCACATCCATATTCCACCGTGCTACGAACTAAAAATTACCGCTGCCAAGATTCATATCAAACTTTATTGATCTATGAGAAAAACCCATTTTTGCACATACAAGGGTGTGAGTGTCGATGAAAAGGAAACGCACATCAACACCTATACTCACACATCCACCCACATCCAGAGCAATACCCTGAATAGATAAGCATGTATTTGATTATCTAATTTATCATTTTATGGAACTCACATATATTTTTGAAGAAAATAGTGAGTGTATGTTTTAATGCCAAGTTTTCGCCGCTTCCCCTCCCCTGCCTCCCTCCCCATTACAGATCAGAGCAACTCCATCAAAAAAAAAGAAACGAATTCTGCTCGAATTATACAAATGAAAGAGATAGCATTTACCGGCGATTGATTATCATTAGAAAGAACTATCGTCTGTTAGAGAATTTAAACATTGTATATTTTGTCATTAACATAATGAAGGTAAGGGGCGGGTGTGGGTCTGGGTTCATTTAATCACACGCACACCCACACCCTATCTCAATTGTAAAATTATTTAAACGATTTAATTGGACATCATCTATACTTATTTATCAAAATGATGCATTTGGAATTGAAGATGCCAAAGTAATAAATGAAGAATTTATTAAAAATAATTTAACAGTTCGAGAGTCAATTATATTTCATATATCAACATTTAATATTCACGATGATTTTGAAAAAAAAATTAATACATAGTGAAAGTCGAATTGTTATTTTATGGGTTCAATCCAATTATATACCTTTAATATTAGAAGATGCTCTTAAGTTTGATCTAGTTGGTCCTGAATTCATATGGATATTAAGTTCAAGTATTTCATTAGATTCCTTTAATAAAAAATATCATGAAAACTTAATTGGACTGTTAACTATTGAACCAGTTGCAACAATTACTCTAAATGCTCCATTAAATACAGCATTATTAAATGCAGCATATGATATATGGCAAAAATATGAATCAGAATCATTTCCTGGATCATCAAAAGTACATTCTTTTGCATTATTTGCATTTGATGCAATATGATCATTAATTAAATCATTACAAAAACTTTGTTCAAAAACCGAACATGATTCTTCACTATCATCGTCGTCATCATCTTCATGTTTGTCATTTATTGAATCCTCACTTTGTTTTGATCGTCGTTTTGTTCAATCTGACTTATCACTACATACAATAGATCAAATAGAATTTCTCGATGTATCTGGTCATATAAAGCTTAATTTAAATAATCTTACAGATCGAATCACTGAGGTATATTACTATGTACAAAATCTGCAATCATTTTCAAACGGTTTGCATTTTGTTTCCGTATTAGAATATTCTAATACTAGTTATTGGTATCTGTATAAACAAACCACTGTTATTTTTTGGCCAGGAAATTCATTAATCACTCCAACTGATCGAGCAATACTTAAAGATATAAATTTACGAATTGGCGTTATTGAATCAGTTCCATTTACAATAATAACAAAGTTTATGGATGAATTTGGGCAGAATACAACAAAATTAACCGGTTATATTCCTGATCTTATTCAGCTTTTACAAAATAAAATAGGATTCATTCCAATATCCAAATAGTACCGCCAAATCAAACGTATTCAGAAGTAATTCAAGCTGTAGCTAACGGTGATTATGCTATTGTCATTGGTGATGTCATAGTTACCGCTACACGAAGAGAATCAGTCGATTTTTCTAATGCCATATTTGATAATTCTTTACGAATCATAACTCGAAGAACATTTGATGTTAATATTGATCTTTTATCATTTTTAAAACCATTTTCATGTCAACTTTGGTTATTAGTTTTCGATGTTTGCATCTATGCTGCTTTTTTACTTTGCCTTATTGAAAGACAAGATAATGAAACATTACAAAATCGATCCATATTATCTCAATTTCTAATGAGTGTTTGGTATTCTTTTGGCAATATTGTTGGATATGGTGTTGATTTTAACGCTAATACAGCTGCTGAACGTTTATTAACTGCTGGATTATATATGTTAAGTTTAATGTTATTAGCAACATATACTGCAAATTTAGCATCTAATCTAACAATATCGAAATCAAAAGATATTATTTCGGGCATTGATGATGTCAAAAATGGAAAAATTTCATTTAATCGTATTGATATTCGTGTGGATACAACAATTGAAGAATATTATTTAAGAAAAATATCTTTTGGTAGTCGAAATTATTATCCATTAAAATCTCGACAAGAATTGTATGATAGTCTACTAGCAGGCAGTATTGATGTTTCATTCATGGATGCTAGTATAGCGGAATATATTACGAATAATATTTATTGTAATTTAACTTTAATTGGAAAAGATTTTCATAAAGGTGATTATGGTATTGTTACTGAAAAACAATGTTTATATGCCAAAGATTTAGATGTTAATATTTTATCATTAAGAGAATCAGGTCAACTTGATGAGTTAAGACGAAAATGGTTTCAAAAAAATAATTGTCGTGGTTCATTTGAGACATCGACTGTCATAAAAATTGAATCAATGGGTGGTTTATTTTTAATTTTTGGACTTATTACTATTCTATCATTCTTATTATTTCTATGGTCGAAACGGTCTACTTTTAAAAATTATTTCTCTAATTTATTATATCGAAAGAAATCTTCTGGCAAAAAAAAGACTCAATAAGAAGAAATTCAATAAAAATTCCTTAAGTTTCAGAAAGCCATCAATTAGCATTATCTAGTTTGTAACATTTTGGGATGTTGGTGTGGAGCTTCTTGTCGATCACACCCTACATAATAGCGTCAGGAGTAAAAAGATGACTCTACACTGAAGTCCATTCGAAGTAGAAGACCCTAGGCCCATGGACTTTTATAAGTTCTTGTAAAAGTTTCGAAAAAAATCAAAACAATTTTGTAGACTCAGCAAGTGATTTACAAGATTCATTCGAATATCGAATCAAAGGAAGGAAAAATGAAAAAGGGAAAAAACTTGTCTTTGTGGTTTGAGTAGACGCAAAATCTCTTCTAGGTCCTGATGATATTGATCATGCGATAAAGAGTGCGCAAAAAAACAAGATAATCGAAATGTTGATGGACCAGTTCCTGATTTAGAATAGATCTTGTTTTCACCAGCACTCACACCTACGAATTGTTTTTAGAATACTTGAATCCTTTATAGTTACTCTTCCCTTTCCCTCCATAGCTGTTTTAGAACAACTAATGGTGCAATATCTGCACTAGATGACTAAATTTTCTTCAATGAGAGACATCATGTTTTTTTCATGTGACTTGATCTATGGTCGTTTAAATACGAAGTATCATTTTCTTCAACAAAGGGTAATGATCGAATCTCTGGTGCATATGATTTTTTTTGGAAAATATCATCGATTCTCTGAAAATAAAGATTTATTTCAAATGACGCTTCTTCTGAATAACTAATATATGGACATCGATCAGGCTGATCAAATAATCGTTTATTTTATTTTTTGTTAAAGTTTTGATCTTTTCGAGCGTCATCAGAACATGAACATAAATCAATTTCGAACATCAAAATAAATAATATAATCATAGGACCACGATAATGATGTTGACCTTTAAATCACCTTGCAAAGGTTGTTAATGAGTTAACCATCATTTGTAGCACCTGCACCCACCTCTACATCCCGAAATTTTAACAACAAATAAAAATAAAAAATTCGTCGATGAAAATAAAAATAAAACTAAAAGTAACATTTGTCTTCTTAGTTTATTAATATAAATTCATGTTTGCCTGTTCAAGTGTTAATTTATAGATCATAATGATCACAATGAAAGACTCTGACTGATAGCTAAAACTTTGAACACATTGAAATAATTTATTGTAAAGTCATTTCATGTAATGTAAAATGTCTGAATAAACGAGTTTAAAAAACAGTATATGAGGACGCAGATATATTCACTAATAAGAATGATAAGTATTAATGAGAACAGATTACTTATTCAGAGGTAAATTTTGTGGACTGAAAATTCTATTTGCAAAATGGATCTCTGATAAGATGAGGGTCGGTGTGAGTGTGAATACTATGATTGCATCCACATCGCAAATAAGTGGATAGATTGGATTGATACTTGAATGCCAGGAAGTCTTTGTTTTCGATTTTCTTTCTATTTCAACAAGCTCAACCGTTTCACTGCAAATCTCTACAGCACTTTTATCCATAAATTAATCGAATAAAACTGAGCGAATGTTTTTTGTCAGTCTTTTTCAGATTTCCAATGTGCTCAATAATGGTCAAACAGTTATGATTAATTTTACGCTCGGATACTGTGTGATAGAAGTTTTTGATAATAAGGTAAAACTTCACGATAGAAAGGTATATGTTCCATGGGAATATCATTCTCCGTTATTTTAATTCCAGATGGTGGTCTAAATCCAGTTGTCGAATGTAGGTCGCTATACCAAAATTTAGCCCAAACACCATCGCAAGATTTCAAACCAGTTGGCCACGATAACATCTTATCCGTAAATGGCAAATCCAATCGATCGCACATCTGTGTCAATACGGATTGTGGATCTTTTCTTATTTCATTACCATCAACAACAATTGGATCTTGTTTTGTAGCCATTTTTATCCAGTCGTAGAATGTCACTTGATCTTTTAGACATCCATATTGTGAAACTATCAAATGATCTATCTTGTAATGAGATACGATAGTCTCAGCAGGATCACGAATAAGAATTATGTGACGATAGTTCAATAGACGATTCTTATTTGTAAGTTCTATGATATTGGACATATTTTTAACAAAAACATTGCCCTTTATTTTTTCCTGGTTTTCAATTTCATCATGAACCTTTTCCACGTCGTCACATTCCATTGTTTGCATCACTTCATCAAAGCATGGTTGATCTTTTTTATCAACTTTTTTTAACCAAATTCCGTAAAATGGTTCATCGATAACGACTGTATCCGGACGTTGATTAAATGAGTACATAAGAGCTGTAGAATAATTTCTTGGGCTAGAGTAGAGATAGATAATCATGCCTTTTTACTGATTTCTTGCAGAAAGTGCCTCAATTTGATTTCTGAACAATTGGTTTAATTAACAGCTCACAGTGTGTAGCGTCAAATCTAGAAGTTAAAATTAAAGAATTGGTTATGTTCTCTCATAAAATAATATTCGTATAACAAAATATTGCACTTCCAGTACTCCACGCAATTATCGAGCTCCAAAAATGTCAACTGTCATCAGATACTGGATATTTGAAATTCTATGTTCACATATCTCATTAGAAATGTAGATCAACAACATCAACAACATGCTAATTGCATGAGTTTTTTAAGAGTTAAGAAAAAAGCTTGTTATCACAACTCCAAAGAGGCTGAACTGTAAAACTCGCATATATATTCATTAGCCTCCGTAAGCTAACATAAAATGCGTCTAATGAAAACTCTCGTGTAATATAAATTCGGAGGGAAGGATGTGCTATTATGTAATGAGGAGTGTTTGTAACGGGATTCTGCGTTGATATGGTCTGTAATTGTGAGACAAGTCGCAAAAACTTCGACTCAATACTTACAGTCACTATTTTCTTCGACAATATATGTGTTACACAAAAATATAGGATTATAAATAGATTCTGCACAAAGTAGAAAAATCAACACAGCTGTTTTCTAATACTAATATGGCCAATCCTTGAAATTTTTTAGACAAACATCAAGCATAGGTTATGCCGGTTTCCGAACTAAATAGTGAGTTTATCTTGCTTTAATCTTGAATCTAGTGTTCACGATATTTAAGCGATGATCATCAGTCTACGATTTTTTCCCGACAGAAGATTTGCTTCCTAAATTTTTAGACAGGAACGATCACCTATGGAGGAAGCTTTTCTGGAAGTTTCAGGTCGATCCAATAAAACTATCAGCTAGTTACGAATCTTAAAATGTTAGCAAATCCTTTTCTGAAAAATGAATACATTGCTTGGACGAGTTGAGAAACTTCATACTTTCATGGTAAATACATTGAACACAGTATTATATAATGAGCGGTCGGTTGACAGACAAGACCCATCTCATTCAGATGTATGAAGGTATGGCTGTGAAACTTATACCAACACCGACACTGGCACCCATACGCGCGATGTTACATAACATCGCTCAAGAAAAAGAATCAATGTCAACTATCATCTCATGCAGTGCTATTTCATATTTCGTACCATCAGGTAAGTGATAAACAGGTCGACCTGCTCCTACCTGACCGTTGCAAGTCAATGTCGAATCCCGTCTTAAAATTTATGGATCAGCTTCATTTTTGCCATGCTCAGTCCAAATAGTATTGGAAGTGGCAGCTGTGTCTGTAACCTTTCATAAATGTGTGAAACTTTGCATAAGCTGATGAGTTCGATTCGAAAGAAAATTTTAACCTACCGTCACATTAGCATCTCAAAAAAGAATCAGATCACATTGTATTACATGCTAATGTATTGAACATTCTCGTGAAATATCTAACAACCCTGGCCTACTATATCTACCGATGCTTATATTAGATGAAACAAAAACTTCTTCATTTTATTCCATCAAATATCTGCAGAATATAATACTCAGTCGACAAAAAAATATCTGAGACAAAGTTGTAGTCAATATCTGATATACAAATTCAAGCTTCAAGCAAGAGTTAATCAACATGTTTCTAAATCACATATATGCCCAAACAGTTAAATACAATGGTGTGGGATGTGGGTGTGAGTGTAATTTTGATCAGTTTTCGTACCTACACCCATACTCACATCCCATTCGCATCCCACAATCATATCCTTGTAAAGTTGAGTGGTATAAAAATGTTCAACGTATTTATGAGATGAAAACAGAAAAGTCAGTTGAGAAGAGATCTCAATAACAAAAACTCATTAGATACTTTTCTCAAGAAAAATTATTAATCGGCTTTCATTTCATACCTTTTCTGTTTCTTTGTACTATTTGGAGCATAGAGTTGTTGTATGAATGACTTACGAAATACTTCGTTTTCATCTCTAAATGATTATATTGCGTTACTCACCCCTATGAAATTCTTTCAAATGAAGTAGTACTAAACACCTTAGTAACTTCTTGTTGTCACTTTTAGTTTTAATTATGCATGTGATACTGTTTGCTTTTTTGTCAAATGATTCGTTTTACCTTTTGAAACACAAAAAAGTTTTATCTTTCTTATCTTTCTCTTTTCTCCCTCTTTTCTATTTTACTTGATCATCTCTTAACGAAGAACTTTGCTGAGAACGACCATACTTATCAAAAGAGAAGCCTGCAACGTGAGAAGCACACGACGAATAATGATCCACGAAGAAAAACTCCTGTTCGTGCAGCAGATCTTAATTTCAAAGAAATAACACATACCTATATTTACTTCTGTATGATACAAAATAGTTGGTTCCGTGCAGAAGTGTACAATCATCAGCAATGATAAACTTAATTGGCTATCTATTGTAAAATTCAGTTATTGATAGTTAGCAAGGTACATTTTTTTTTTGAAAAACCCTTTTCATTTCGATTCATTCTGAAAGTAATGAAACTTATATTGTATTCAACATGTGATAATTGGTTCCTACATTGATACAATAACTAATCATTAGCAGTATGATTTTGGTCGTTCGATTGAAATAGATATTATAGAAGCTGAGCTACAGTCATCTTGTTTTTTTTTATTATACAAATAAATAGACAGAGAACAAAAAGTTTATACTAGCTATTGACTTGAACAAAAACTTAAAAAACATGATTGCATTACACAAAGAAAATTAAAATAAAATAAAATAATTTTCTACATAGCATGGACGAGAAATTGGGTGTGAGTGCGGTTTTGGCTATAGGTCTTCTTTTCTGCCACATTCACACCCCTTAGATCAGGATTTTAGTTTTTTGAATATTTCGACTCAAATGCATCATAAATATTAATCGCAGACGTTGATGGCATAATAGAAAAATCAACTCTGCTTTTCGAATGCTGTCTGTATCGAAAATATCAACCGTAGTTTATTGAAAGAAAATTTTGCTTAACACGCAGTGTATCATTTCCAAAGTCCAGCACAAGTCAGAGAGTTAATATTAGACAAAAAGACTCAAGTTTACTGCCCATTTCACTTATCATGAACGAAATTTTTCAATCAAACAACCAAGTCGATGACGATTATCGTATGCTTCCATTTCTTCCAAATGCCCATGAGCTAAATCTATAAGTCGATTGATACTCTTGTCTTGAATATCATCAAGATCAATAGGATTTTCGAGCCATATTTGCCATCGATAATAATTGTCACCAAGAACACTATTCAGATGAAGATCTATATTATTTTGAGGGCCATCCATCAATATTTTGAATACTGATTGATGATTTCGCGCCCAGAATAGGAGATTCCTATTGGCATTGAGATTCAATGGATCAGGAACATAATCACCAGTACCCAAGGATAGAAGACGAACACGATTTCTATCATAATGTGGATAAGACTTTGAAGCGTGGTCATAAGCAATCATTGCCGGGATATTTGCTTGTACACCACCATCAACATAGACACTACTATTGAATTGATAAGCAGGGAAATATGTTGGTGCAGCTGTTGTACACATGAGTATATCTGTAAGACAAAAATTTTTTGTTGAATCTTGATGACTATTAAATCGTGTAAATATGTCAGTGACGCTTCCACCACTTTTCACGGCTGGTATAACCAGTTCGCTCTTAGCATCCGATAGTGTTGCACTACCAAAATATTCTTTAAATAATTATCCAGTGAAGATGTCGTAAGTCCTGCGCCAATGATTGCACCGGTTGATGTATCAGCTATAACATCAACTATCGATGAAATCGGTCGTCGAATCTGCCGTTCAAGTTCCATTAGCCAAATAGCAGGAATGATACCTGGAATGCCACCACCATCAATTGATAAGATGTTGCACCATTGTTGTTTTTCATCGAGATTTGATGAGTATGAATTAAAATCCAATGGCTCAGTGATATTTATTTGCTCGTATTTCTTTTTAATTGTTTTTTCTTCTCGCTCAATATCCGTATCATTTGGTCGTAGTTGGGGTGTGGGGTGTGGGTGTGCGGTGTGGGTGGGGTGTGGGTGTGGGTGTGGGTGTAAGTGTGTGGGTGGGTGTGGGTGTAAGTGTGGGTGTGGGTGCGGGTGCGGGTGTAAGTGTGGGTGTGGGTGCGGGTGCGGGTGTAAGTGTGGGTGTGGGTGTAAGCGTATATGTAGATATACATGTAATGGGTGCAGCCTACACATGAAATGGGCGTTAATAAACCAAATGACGAAGCATTTCATTGTAGAAACTTGACTCATACTTATAATGAGTTTTTTCCTATGTTGAAAGAATAAACAGATTCATTAAAAAGATGTACACTATCGAAAGAAACAAAAAGAAAAGAGTCCTCGTAGATTCATTGACTTACTAGTCAATGAATCATAAGAACATAACTTCGTTTTTTTAAATAGTATTCCGATCAATTCTATTTAATAGTATCAATGATTATGCATGGCAATCAATTTGAAAAATCTAAATTGTATTTGTAAAAATGTCATCATATGTATTTTTCAGACTTCTATTTATTGAAAATACATGCTAAAACCAATTGATACATTTTTGATAATTTTAATATCATTTGTATTTCGTATACGATCATATCAAATATATATGAGTTGCTTTATGTAGACTATATTTTGAGGAGAGAGAAAAATCAAACTTTGATTCAATCAATTGATAAACATCATTATCGAACAAAAAATTGGTTCCACTAACACAAATTACTTCTAGAATATAGTTTATTTATTTAATACTAAATCTATTATTTATCAATCGATTTGTTTATACAATTTTTATGACTCAAGTATTCAAGAAAATTAGCGAATAATAATGATTCAATATTATTCAACAAGAATTGTACAATCATCTTGACTCACGAATGTTACTTGGAATTTTCCAACTGGAAGTTGATAG